CACCTACAGTCACAAGATCACCCTTACCATCACAATCATTCAAACACACTATACAATTGAGTAAGAATTGGAGGACCTGCAAATTTGCTTCACTTCACCAATACGAACGATGAACAATAAAGTGCGTAGTGTTGGAATGTCTCGCAAACAACAAGACCTTTGGTAGGATAACTTGACTAATAACATGTATAGTAGTTACATCCTTTCACTGTGTAATTGGTTATTTTCAGTTATTTCGTAATAATTTGTTTTCCTCTTGGTCTCACATTATTTTCCGAACTCCTATAAACTCTCCTTCCTTCTCCTCTTCAAATTATATCTACCCCCCTCTTAAAAAACCCTGCTGAAGAAAACTGTTAGGTCGAAACGCATACCCCTGTACGCTATTCCTACTCAATTTCAATCTCTCGCTCTTATATCCTCGCCTTTGATTGTGTCCCATAAAAATTTCACCTATTTTAGTTTCTACGGCCGTGATTTAATCGTAGTTTTCCTAGTTTTTTACGTACATGTTCATCATAGGGGTCGGAGTAAAGAAATAAAGAACAACCATTTTTGGAATTATACTGGTCCTCCCATTATTTAGGCTACAGGGCCGTAGGAAGCTCTTTTTGATTGGGGGGAGCTGAAAGCGAGGGCCGAAGGCCTGGGGAAATTTTTAAATTTAGAGTCTCTGAAATGCCATTTCCTGGACCCTGCAGTCCCCCCGGTTGCTACATGCGGCCCTGGGCTACACGCAGAAATGCACCGAATGGCAAATAAGGATTACCACTCGAAAGTCTTGCTCGATATTTTTTTTCGTCCGTTTATTCTTGCACGATATTTTTTTTAAGTTCGAATTGCTTGCTCGATATTTTTTTTGGGATTCTACCCACCCCCCCATCAAAAATCAAATGGTCCGTCCCTTAATTATTAGATCTACCCCTCTTGAGTTATTTTAGTTATGTAATATTAACCTTAACTATACTAACCATGCACTTAACATTAATCTTTACTTATTAACAAGTTGTTTTCCTTTCTTTCTATTCATTTGTTCTTTCAAACTATGTAACCGTTTTTGTAATATTAAACCATTATTTTGTAAATATATATACCATACCCTGTAAATTCATTTAGATTGCTCTGAAGATGTTGTATTGTAAACAACGAAACGTTAGCTAATTAAATTTTTACTTTTATCATGTTTGGTTTTAAAGTTATTTGCTGGGCTCTGCTCTTTATCTTTAAACTATATTACAGACAGTTAAAAAATGTAAAATTTCAGATACATTTCTAATACAAATGCCTTGCATCAAATAGAAAGCTTACAAAAAACTACATATAAGACATTTAAATGGTTAGCTGCATGGGATTTTCAAGTGGTTTTCGAGTTACTGCTGTTCCAAATGTGAAAAATAAACCAAAATCTCGCAAAAGCCTAGAAAACGATTTTCATTAAGCATGTCTTGGAACTGAAATATTTTTATGGGAACTAACACTTTCGAACACGCTGAGTTCAAATCCGAAAACTTCCCGCAGTTTTCTCACAAACTGCTATTTTATCTTCGCTAATTTCACAACAAATTTTTTCATTGTTCAACGACACGGATGGATGAAGACACACGATTGCATAACTCAACAAGACTAATTCCTATGAACCAGTCTCTACATTGAACAAAAGACCGGTTTTGCTCGAATTATTTTGAGTTATGTAATTTTAAGCGTGTTGGACGTAAACAACATATCTTGTCTACAACTTTGGGAAGGTACCGATATCGCTTTGTAAAATCCTCAGTTCTGGCTGTATCTCTATAAAATCACAAGGACGTCAATGTTAAGTCATTGGGCTATATCTCTGGGATGAGAAATAATTCCTTACATGCGATCAAAATGCTTTATACAATTATGTAAAACGGTAATCTTATGGAATTGGTCAGCATTTCCATTTCCAACACAGTTTCTGAGATGTAATTCAAGAGGTAACTTATCATTGCATTTGAACTATTATATCAGTTGGTGTTATTCTGTGCGATAAGCGAATATTATTGGAAAGAGGGCTGCCATATACGTTGAAATCACCAAATAAACAGCTTATGCACACATTTCTCCACTTCGTCGTAAGTTTACAGAGCAGATTTTATACCTTGGCACTGATCTTTGTCTTTGATATGAACATTTATTCCCCTAGTTTTATGGTTATTTCAACCTCGTCCCCAGGGTAGAAGACCCTGGGGACGAGGTTGTGGTTATTTAAGATTCATCCACCGCGCGTAAGAAGGGCTCTGGGTACGAGAATCCCCCCCCTTCCCCCCCAGTCAATGTTGTTTGGGATTGTTTTCTGCTCGGAATTAGACTTGCTCCAAGTCTCTCTATGTGGAAACCCACTATATTGTACGTTACATGACGTACCGCTGAGGGGGAGAGGAGGAAAGAGAAGAGAGACTTGTAACATCTGGCAGCAGACATACTTCCGGCTGGTCAATTTCGACCAGCCGGAAGTAGATGGCCGCATTGACTTATCATGTGTTTAGGGGGGGAAGGCGACATCTGGACTTATTTGTTTAACATATAAAGTAATTTTGTATTCACGAGATTTCTTGTAGATTTCACATCACTTTTGACTGCGTGCATTTGGAATTTTGGGCATTATTTTTGCAATTTATTGTAAAAAACGATTATAAGAAGAACGGATAAATT